TCTAAAAGGCTCAGCAATCAGCCAAAGCAAGAGGAAGATCAAATGAAATATTTTTGACAATAAACTTATATTCTTTTTAACAACCAGAAGAGCAAAATGGATGTCAGTCATTCAGGAATGCCTGAGCCTGCACAAAACCAGCTAAGTAATGGGACATGAAAGTTTGCCAATACCATGCCATGCCATTCTATCCTGGTATAATAGAAACTAAAAGTAAATGCCAACTAATTTGCTCATTAACATGAAGACCAGCTCACATCAGACAGTAAAGGGGAGTTTGAATAATATGCCCTTTTTGCAAATGTAGCTTGAAATAGTCTTTAATAATTCCGTACAATAAAATAATTTACTTTGGATTATATTTTTGAAACACCAATTGCTAGAAAATAGATCTTAGACAAAAGTTTGGAATGCTGTTCAATTTACCACAGACTTTCCCAGATGACATCATTTTGGGAATTAAAATCTATAAGTTCAAATTTTCCCAAATGGTTAACAGAAACATCATTGAAACCCGGGTTCTAAATTCAACAAGAGGGTAACAACCCAGATGATGACACAACCGTGAGTGCGGTTATGACTTTCTAGTCAGAGGCAAAGGTGTTGAGAGCCGAAAAAATAAATAAATAAACATAGCAAATGGAAAGATTTAAAGACTTGATTCTTAGTAAAATAAATTGCCACATTACTATTGCATACCTTTTTTTTTTTTAATTTGAATAATCAGCTCAGACAAAACTCACTAAAGAATAAGAACCAGGCACCCTTACCTGTTTGTTTTTGGCTGGCTTGAAGCAATCCGGGCATATTGCACGTCTACGTAAAATTCAAGTTATTATAAAAGGTTAATGAGTTTATTTTGCTGTGAATATAATTCAAACGTATTTTATTCAACATGGCTGCTAAACTCAGGATATCAGGAGCAGACAAAATAAATCCCTATACGAGCTGCATTGGTCCCAGGGGTGGGGAATGTCCAGTCTGTGGCCTGTGAAATCATTTGGTCTGGCCCTGCCAAGGCATTAGGGGTGAGTTAGTTAAATGTCTGACCAAATACAGCAGGCTAATTTTTAAGTTGATAATTTTGTATAGCCCGCAAATGATGTTATAAATATCCAAATGGCCCTTGGCAGAACAAAAAGGTTCCCCACCCCTGGCTAGACTTTACATTAGAGAGAGCACATTTTAAACCTACTAAGACATGACAAGTTCTGATATACTCATTAGAAAGAGGAGCAATACTATTTTCATGAAAACCAAAAAGCATTAACAATGTTATACCATTGACATTGTTGTTTACGCGGCAACTTACAGGAAGTGGCAATCCTCCACTGTTTCTGGGTGAGCAAAGACCACACTCACTTCAAACAAGCTCTAAAAATTGTAAAAGACAGTTTAAAAATGAGCAAAAGGAAACCAACATCTAACAACTTATGAATGGAAATAGAAATGAACTCTCACAGGTTGGCTCAGAAAAAGAGTGACAAGGAAAACGGGAAATACTACTATTTTCAAATCGGCTTGTACACAGAGCAGTTGTAGAGGAAATTGTCTTTTTTCTTTTTTTAACTCCTAAAGTTCAACCACTAGTGATCCTACCAAAAAACAAGTTTGAAAGAAATTTTAAAATAAATGTTTCTGACTTTTGTACATGAATATACATTAGGTGTGAAGATGAATGAGAATTCAGGGAATTGGGAAGAGAGAACTGAAAGAAATGAAGAATTATTCCAGGCAATACAAGGATTAGAATTATTAGCAAAGCAAAAAGCACTTTATTTACATGCTTAAAAACTCTGTAGGAGGCTTTTTAAAGGTGTTCAAACTTCTTAATAAGTTTGAGTTTTAAAAGAGAGATCTTAATTTTTTCTTATTACAAAAGCAATACATACAAATTGTAAAATGATCAAATACAGGGCAGGTTTTCAATCCCACTCCACTGAAGGGATAGAACCAGGAATAGTTTGGTGTGTTTCCTTCAAACCCTTCTTATGAATATAGACATAAATGTACAGTATATACTTCTTGGGACAGTAAACATACATTTGTATAACTGCTTCATGAATATTACGTCATGGACATCTTTTCAACTCTAGGGGCTGTTGGATATTTTAGTTGTAGTAAGTTTTTCTAGTATTAAAAAAATGCTAAAATAAACATCCTTGTACACACAAGAAAGCACAATTTCATACTCTGTGTACATTGACCATGGAGAATATATAACATTCCACATTGAGAAAAATATATGAATGTCATACCATGCAACAATCTTACCTTTTTTATTGAGTACTACATTACAGATTGCATAGGACTGTCAGCAAGCCGATTAGCTACTCTAGAATCACAATAGTTGGTTTTTTCCTCTCTATTCTAATCTACCAAATAAAAATAAGATTACAACACATTTTTTTTTTTACTCAAAAAAACTTCAGTCCTTCTAAATCTATTAGAACATTTTTATATCTTTTGTTTTCTATTTTTGGTTCTGAGTCAACATATAAGAAATCATTTGTGCTTCAAAAATAAAACCTGAGGTAAAAAATATTTTTTGTCAATGACTTCTTTAATTTCCAAAGTACTTTCATTACCTCATTTCCTCTTCATGCTATCTGTGGGTTTTATTTTCTATTCTCTCAGTATTCAGTTTAAAGGGCAGTCAGAGTTTATTCTCACTAACTGAGAGAAACAGAGCTATACAATTCAGAATAGTAAATTTTTAAAAAATATTTAGCTTTGAAAAATGGTTTTATGATTTTACTTGCATGGGCATGTATCTGATATTCAGGGAATTTCCTTCAAGCAAAATGACCAAGCAATGAGGCCATACTCTTACAATTTAATTTAAATGAGCTGGGAATATGTCCTGTTTCCACATCTTGAAGCTTGTTTAGCTCTTCCCCAAAATTCAATCCATTCTAGAGACTGAGGCAAGGTCGGCTCTGGAATAGGGAGATGGTTAAGTGTTCGGTTTTCCAAGGCAGTCTCTGCATAAGATCCAACAGAGGGATTTAAAATAGCAACACGGCAACAGACTGAGCCCAGGCTCACTGTAGTTGAGAGGATTCTGTCTGCATATTTGAAAACAAGATTAGCCACAGATAACAAAATTTAAATAGTCTAGAGTGGATGCTATACTTGCTCAGTTATTTATGTATTGCTTTGTGTCAGTAAATTCACCCCTACAATTAAAATATAAATATATTAAAGGCTTAGATTCATTTCTAACCTCTTAAGGTCAATTAGGATACACTGCACCTGTTACACTCATAAGTGTCTTAGATCACAAAGAAGTCTTTAAAAAAAGAAAGAAAGAAAAACCTTTAACCTCAATTTAAGACTGTCAAAAATTATCATTTTAAAGGCTTAAAAATCCTTCATTGGATTATTTAAAGAGAATATTCTCTTGGCTAACCAAAACTGTACCCTAAAATGAAGTAAAATTGGTGAAATCAGAGAACATAATTAACAATGCTGATGACCCAATACCTTTCCATCAATGGGAACACCCAGTTCCTCTGAAAACAGGGGGTGAGTTATCCATTTGTAGGCTTCTTTTAGCTGAACTATGTCATTTCTTCCCAGTGACAGACTCTGCTTTCTGAATAACATAAAAATTAATTCACTGACATGAAAAACTTCACTTTTTCTACTAAAGGCAAGAGTTTATGCAATTATTTAAAAAATATTTATTAAGTGCCTCCTATGTCCCAGGCACTATTTTACACATTAGATAAAAAAACAGAGAACAAAGCAGACAAAAATTCATGAGCTCATGGGCCTTATATTCCAGTAAAATCAAGAAGCTCCTTTTTTTTTTTAATGGCATAAAGACAGTGTATAATGTTTCAGAGACAAAGGTGTACTAATGAGCTAGAATTGTCAGATTCCAGAATTTATACATCAGAAGACAGAAAGATGGGATAGAGAGGATTGTTTATTGTTCAGAAACTACAAAACTGCACATTACAATTATCTCATCCAGACTAAACTGTTTGCATCAATACGATTCCTGATAATAGGGCTTACTTTTGGGAAATATATGTAAAAGCTGTACTTTTTTCTTTACTGCTGAAGAAGAAATATTAAATCCTAAAGTATCAATGTTCTGAAATACTCATCATCTTAATATCAGATAAATGTCTGAATAAAAATCTGACATTCCCCCAAAATCTACTATGAGCCAATAAACAGGTTTGGGGAAGTCCCAATTATGGTTTCTAGACTTTGGTTTGTAAACTAGAATTGTGAGAGAAAGGAACTGAGGTAAGAGGAAAGAAAAACATGGTATGATATTATTAAAACTGCTCTACTCTGCTGAGAACACTGCAGTATCTGCTGAGAACACTGCAGTATCACTAATAAAGTAACAGGCACACATCAGTCATATAATTAAAACTTCAAATCAGTCTTATGGCTATTCACAGGGCTACTTTTAACGAAGGAGATATTAAGGACCAACTTGTGACTCATTTTTTAAATGTCTAATTTTCACTGATATACCCTGGTCAAGTAGCTCAGTTGGTGTCATCCCGATACACCAAGGTTGTGGGTTCGATCGCCAGTGAGGGCATATATAAGAATCAACCAATAAATGCATAAGTGGAACAACAAATTGATGTTTCTCTCTCTAAAAATCAATTTAAAATTTTTTAATTGACAAAAATTAATTTTCACTGATAGAAATGACTACTTATAGTCAATGTTTATTATAATTTAATTCTTCAAGACCAAAAGACACTACTAAGCGAAGGTAGAAAATAAGACCGTAATTTAGCTAATGGCTAAATTTAATCAATTGTTAAAAAATAAATATACATTCAAGAACTTATTCAAGCACTAAGTATTTGAGCTTCGTAAACTGTTTCTAATTTTCTAAATAACAAAAAAATTAGGTCTTTTAAAAAACTATCTTGATATTATATCAATAGTTTAATGATATTTCCATTAAAAAAGCATCACAATTGAAAGGTGAATAATAAATGAGAATGCATTTGTAAAGGATAAAAAGTTGAAACAGAGAACATAAGAATGGAAAACTATTTAAAAATTGCTTATACTCTAAAGTACAATGGGTTGCGGCAAAAGTCAATCCTAAAAACATTACTCAATGTGTAGTTAAGAAAACTGGTACTTTAAATCCCTCATAGTCTTTGAAGTATATTTAGAGCTTCTCAGTCAAGTTAAAAAACTTCAACTATATGCATGTTTTTCTTCCAGATCAAAGAGCTAGGGGAAAGAGTTGGAAACCTTACCCTTATGCAAATATTTAAAATGCCAGATTTTCAATCCTGCAAGTTGAATGTGGCTAATGACTTTTCTAATATGATGTAGGTAAACGTTTTTACAGAGGCCCCTAGCATATGCTTGAAAGTCCTTTAGAGGAATTAGTATAATACCAAATTCAGTCCCAATTTAGTACTTAGTAACCACATTTCACTCTTCTATCAGGTAACTACTGATGAGGATGTCAATTGCAATCACTTTTGCTATAGATATAACATGACAACCAACTAGATCAAAGAATCCGACACAATTTTTTCTAAATTCCTTGAGTCGATTCTACAATGGCAATTCTTTCACAATCTTTTGAACATAAAAAGACTTAGGGACACTAAGAATAAAAATTAGTGCTCTTTCTATATTTTTCCTGTCTCAGAAACCCTACATTGAACGGAATCTTTAGGAAGAACTCATAAACTTAGTTTAAAATCCTTCAATAAGAAATAACAGCAACTCACAAGCAATGTGGATGGACTCTGGAAAATTCAGAAAATAGCATGCTCTGACTACACTAAACACTTTCTCAAATACAGTATCAAATTTTATTATGCCAGAATCACAAGCATTTGAGACTAATCTAACATAACCTAACCGAACTCCAAAACCTTTGATAAATATGTGGTTATTGCCCCCTGAAAAATGTAGATGTGAAATATTTTTAAAAACCAACTACATACTTCTTAAATAAAGTACTTAACCAAATTCAAGATTTGAATACAGAAATCTGTACTTCTCTCTGAATTTTTCTCTCCAGAGTACACAGAAAACCTCTAGCAGTCACATGGCCTTTTTTATATTAGTCTAAAAATTTCAGTGTTAAAATCCGAAAAGCTCTGGAAAATGAAAGATTTTTTTTTCTTAGCTCAGTGAATTGAATATGTGAGACTGCTTAAAGACTTTGTTTATGAAACTTAGTGTGAATACTCATATGTTTCACTGTAGAAGTATTAATGTTTGATTATACCAGTGGTTCTCAACCTTCTGGCCCTTTAAATACAGTTCCTCATGTTGTGGTGACCCCCAACCATAAAATTATTTTCGTTGCTACTTCATAACTGTAATGTTGCAACTGTTATGAATTGTAATGTAAATATCTGATATGCAGGATGGTCTTAGGCGACCCCTGTGAAAGGGTCGTTCAACCGCCAAAGGGGTCGCGACCCACAGGTTGAGAACCGCTGGATTATACAGTAGCAACCCAGACCCTAGAAGGGAAGGTATGTTATATATGGTATTTAACACCATATTACATTTTCAAAATCTAAAAATTTCTAAATTCCACAACACATTTGGCCTTAAAGGGTTTCCGATGAAGGACTGTGGACCTGTTTTCTATGTCTCATCTATGTATAAACTCACTATTGTTCTGCCTTAACTAGGATTTTATTTTGTATCTTTTATAGCATAATTAGTTTCATAAATTAGTTTCTAAAATCTGTATAAAATTTATTCTCTTAAAATAACTTGCCAAACTACATTATATAAGTGGCCAATGAATATAAAGTAAGTATTTACATTCATGTTAAAGCTACAAAAAAAAATCTGCTAATGTTATGCAAATAAACCAATTAAACAAGGTTGACACCTAAATTTATACAATTAAAATTTTCTTTGTGCCAATTTCTCTAGTAGCCAGTGAACTCACTCTAAAAAAAAGAGATACTGGTAGTAAAAGTCCTTTAAGAATTAGGTAGCTTATATTTAAATGGTGGTAAAAATTCCCTACCTAAATTACTTACCCCATTTCCTGTTTTACCAGCAACCATGCAGCATGCTGTAGGCAATTTAGTCACACCCAGAAAGAAAAGGGAAAAAATGTTTATTGAAATTCAGTTCCAATATCATTACAAAAGCGCTTAACTAATTTGCTAATCAAACTCCCCTTTTTGGGAGAGAAGATAGTGTTCAGAAATGTGGCAGTGACCTCAACCTCATATAAAATCAGAAATGAGATCAAGAAGCCACTTTGCAACATTGCTGGCTGTGGCCTAGGAATTCAACAGGGGTATCCCCCACCCTCATACAGATTTCTATTTCTTATTAATGAGGTACAAGTGTTTTTTGACATGGGTAGCTTACATTTTTTTCTTAAAATATCTTACTATTGCATAGGGAAAGGCCCAAAGTGACTGAGTACATACTATGTCCCTAAAGCACAGAATTGAAGACTCTGTTTTGTTTTTGTTTTCTAATAGGGCTAACACAGTTTTAATTATGCCTAATTAATGATATACACATGTATGTGTTGAGGAGTCAAAGGTCCTCATGTCTGTAACTCACTGGAATACAAGAAAAACTAATGTGGATGGTAGATAAATTGATGGCTAGATATACAAAAAAGCAAATATAGAAAAACCATAACAACTGTAGAATCCAGGTGGGTATATGGGTGTCCATTCTTTCCACTTTATTATATGTTTGAACATTCTCATAATAAGATGTTAGGGAGAATGTTCTGGGGAGGATTAATAGAAAACTGAAAAAATTGCTAAAATCACATTCACAATCATGGTCATTATGAGGATTCAATGAAATTCATGTAAAATGCTTTTTTTTTATTGTCTAAAGTTTTACATATTCTCCTTTTTCCCCAATTGTAAAATGCTTTACACCAGTGGTTCTCAACCTTCCTAATGCCGTGACCCTTTAATACAGTTCCTCATGTTGTGGTGACCCCCCAATTTCATTGTTACAAATTGAACATAATTAAAGCATAGTGATTAATCACAAAAACAAAATGTAATTATATATGTGTTTTCCGATGGTCTTTGTTTGACCCCCAAAGGGGTCGCAACCCACAGGTTGAGAACCGCTGCTTTACACGGTAAGTGTGTGACAGTAAGATTTCTCCGTTTGCCATTAGACTACCATAGCTTTCACCTTAAAAAAAGGTAATGACACGTGCTGCCTCAGTATACAGCATTTTGTGAAGATGACACAAGCACACGTAAGACGATAAAATGCCATATGCAGTCTCTATCACTGGCCAGTCATTATCACTCACATCCACCTCAAAACCTAGTTATATCTATAGATCTATCAATCTATCTTATCTATCCCCCTACACACACACACACACACACACACACACACACACACACTCACTGTGGCTCATATGTAGAACCCTGTCCTTTTAAACTTCAGTAAGGCACTAGATACTTCTAAAGACTTACAATCATTTGGAAACATTAGGAGCATTACTTCCTTTGGACATGAACTAAACAGAATAATCACTAGCGAGGTGAGAACGAGAACTGTTCCCAATGCCTAACTGTCTCATCAGTGCCTTCTGATCTGATAGTTTCTTTACCTTGTTAGCTCAACCTAATACCATGTGTAGTACTACAGACCCCCTCCCTCTCTCCTTCCATTTACTGGGGACCTCTTTGAAAGTGTATGGGCATGGGATAGTATACAGATCACTAGCGGTCAGAGACCCTCAGATCCCAAACTGCTCTACTACAGGTAGTCCTGAAATCTCCCTCATCAATGGAATCTCTTCGGTATCTGAGCTTTAGGGAACTATCTTACCTGCCCCCTCCTTAAGGGGGCTCAGACTCATTAGTTCTTTCTCAGTAACCTTCTTCTCTCCTCTTTTGAGGCAAAATCTGTTCTCAACAGTCACTTCCAGGTGATGCCATCAAGTCTGCAATGTTTCCTGTCATCCTCTGATTATAAAGTAGGGCAGAACTGGAGGTTGCCAAGGGAAACCAGATTACCATGTGTAACATGTAAAATTAAATCAAATCTCTTCAGTACCTGAGATCTGCTAAAGGGTTTCCCCTTCCTAATCCTCTAGGCTACCTGCTCAAGCATGCCAGCAGGTCCCACAGAACTCATCACACAGCAGGGGCTGGAAAACTGAATCCCAAACAATTGTTCCAGGTGCTCAATTACGCATTTTTTTACCAAGTGTTAACAATGCCCTGAACCTGCTTCTACTGGGGAAAAAGAAGTACATTTCTCTCTTTTAGGTCACCAAGATAATTTTAAATTTATAAATCTTTGATTCCTTAGTCAATGGGAAAAATTCATTCTCTAGAGCAAGCAATTCAATTCTTCCTCCCCAAAAGAGTCAAATGGCATTAAAGTTATCAAGTTTAATCAAATTTGATAACAAAGGCAGTATATCACCTCCTAAAAACTCAAAAACCACACAATTTAATCCTGGACTCTGCTTTAACTTTATTAAAGAACTGAGGCTTGGTACACGAATTCATGCATGGGTGGGATCCCTCGGCCTGGCCAGCAATCGGGCTGCGGGAGGTTGGCCAGGGGGGAGGGGCCATGGGAGGTTGGCTGGGGGGGGAAGGGCCGTGGGAGGTTGGCCAGCCAGGGGGAGAGACTGTGGGAGGTTGGCCAGCCGGCCCTATTGGGGCTGATCGGGGCTAGCCGGCCATGGGAGGTTGGCTGTGGGAGTGCACTGACCACCAGGGGGCAGCTCCTGCGTTGAGTGTCTGCCCCCTGGTGGTCAGTGTGCGTCATAGCAACCAGTTGGCTGGTCGACCAGTCGCTTAGGCTTTTATATATATAGATTCCAAGCAAGTTCTAAATGGGGCAGTTGAATAGCATCCTTGCTAAAGTGCTGTGTACTCTGGACACACACACACACACACACACACACACACACACACACACCAGGGAAAGTCTATGCCTTTTGAACTTTAGAGTTCTGAGGAAGTGGTTCATCCAGTACCTAATGAGGAGAGTGGATGATGTAGGGCCAGGGATTGAGGCTGATTCAAGCAGAGGTGGCAGGAAGGAAGGACAGAGAGAAACAGGCATTAAAAATGGGCCGAAACCGGTTTGGCTCAGTGGATAGAGCGTCGGCCTGCGGACTGAAAGGTCCCAGGTTCGATTCCGGTCAAGGGCATGTACCTGGGTTGCGAGCACATCCCCGGTGGGGAGTAAAATAAAATTTAATAATAATATTGATAAAAATAAAAATACAGAATAGTGGTGACTATGTTAGGGACATATTTAGAGGGAACATGTAAGGCACCCTCAGCTCAGTCTTGTAGGAGAAGTGACACCTAATCTGAGCTTTGAAGGATCAATTACTAAGAATTAACTGGGGAAAGAATGGGGGAAGTATGTTCCAAATACAGAAACTCTATGATGCAAAAACCAGACAGCTTCAGGAAAGTTCTGGGAACTATAAGTCCCTAAAGAGCTAAGGACATGTGGCTGGGGAGTGCAAAGGTACAGAACAACTGTACCTATGCTAAGGGGTTAGATTTTACACTTAAAGCAATATGGTGCCATGGCAGGATTTTAAGCAATGGAAAGGCATGATCATATTTGTCTTCAGGAATGCTCTCTCTGGTTGCAGTGTCAATTAGAAGAGGAAGATGGGAACTAAGGGAAATGAAGACATGTAGTAAATTAAAGCAGTAATTCAAGCAAGAAATAGTATATTATGGCAATGCTGGTGGGGATAGAGAAGAGTAGGCAGCTTAGATATGAAGACACAAACCAAGAAAACTTGGTGACTAGCAGTGATGTAGGTCTTTCGAATTACCATTAATGCCCTTAAAACTCTAGTCTTTTGCCCCAGCTAGGGTGGCTCAGTGATTGAGGATCAATCCATGAACCAAGAGGTCACCGATTCCCAGTCAGGGCACATGCCCAGGTTGTGGGCTCAATCCCCAGTAGGGGGCGTGCAGGAGGCAGCTGATTGATGTTTCTATCTCTCTATCCCTCGCCCTTCCCTTCTCGATAAAGTCAATAAAAACATATTTTTAAAGCAATTCTAAAGTCTTTTTAATCTGACACATCTCTTGGACTCTTTATAATAACAAAGACAATACAAATATAGACTTGTGCCAACAGGGAAATGACAATAGTTGTTTGGGCAGCTAGAGGTAGTATTCCTGCTCCCTCTTCTTCTTCCAACATATACACATGCATACATAAACACATTTATTTTTCTTGCATACAAATATCCGGTTGGGAACTAGACTCAATACTGAAGTTCGTAACAATAGATACTCTTCTTCCCTTTTCTCATCCAGCACAACTGCCTAAGATTTCCTTCTCCTCCTTCTCCCCTTCTTCTACCTCCTTCTCCTCCCCACTCTCCAATCTGCTACAACCTTGAACACCTGCCTCACAAAGCACCCACTCCTCTCCGTGTGTCAGGTTTGATTTCAAGTGCGGTGGCAGAAAGAGGAAGGTAAGAAAGGAAGGGAGGCCCAGCTGGCGTGGCTCAGTGGTTGAGCATTGACCTATGAACCAGGAGGTCACAGTTCGATTTTTGGTCTGGACACATGCCCGGTTGCAGGCTGGATCCCCAGTGTGGAGCATGCAGGAGGCAGTCAATCAATGATTCTCTCTCATCATTAATGTGTCTCTCTCTCTCCCTTTCCCTTCCTCTCTGAAATCAATAAAAAAAAATTTTTTAAGAAAAAAAAAGGAAAGCAGAATACACTCCTATTACTCTGCTGGACTCTACCACTAAGCTGAGGTAGACTCTTCCCCTGCATCTCTCACCCCAGAGTCCTCATCTCCAGCATCTCCCTGCCTGAATCCCACTCTTCTTTTCCCCAGTCTCCGATATCAGACCGTGTTATAATGACCAGCAGTCTGAGTCTGGGTGTTGCTTATAAAACTTATGTCAGCTATGTACAAAAACCTCTACAAATCTATTATCTTTTCCCACAGGATTGAGAAAAAAAAAAGAAAATGCAGTGAGACATAAGACCTTCTCACTCCAGCTTCTCCTACTACTGTTGGCAATAACATCCTCTAGATAACATTAAAAGGTTGAACGCT